ACCATATCAACATTCTGGAATAATCAATTTACCAGGAGGATCTCTGGAGAGCAAAAGCAGGAAAGGTATGAAGCGCCAGTGTGGACAAAAGTCAAGCAAACGCAGAGAGACTGAATACGTGCGTGGGAGACCAGCAAATCAGATTGAAGTACCTGCCCACTGGTGAAAGTAATGTCAGAGCCAATCAGATTTTTCTTTCTTTTCATAAAGAACGGGGTTCGAATCCCACTTAGGCACTTGTAAACAATCATTTTAGAAAATTTTGTCAAAAATCCCTACTGAAAAAAACAGCTTAAACCAGCCTAGGCTGGTTGGCTGGTTTTAGAGGGGTTTTGGCCATTTCCAGGCTGGTTTCCAGCCATTTCCAGCCTGGTCTTAGCTGGTCAGGCTGGGAGATGACCAGCTAAAACCAGCTATGTCCAGCTTAAACCAGGCCGGTCAAGCTGGTTTTAGCTGGATTTTGCTGGTCAGTTTCCAGCCTGACCAGCTAAGACCAGGCTGGAAATGGCTGGAAACTAGCCTGGAAATGACCAAAACCCCTCTAAAACCAGCCTGGTCGACCAGCTTACCAGCCTAGGCTGGTTTAAGCTGGATTTTTCTGCAGGGATATTGTAATGTTTAACCATTTATTAGAGCCACAAAGTATCTAAAACTTGTTTTCATGTTTGAATAGCCAATAAATGTGCTAAATAAATTAAAATAGAAATACCCACAGTGAAACAGTTATATAAATTTAAATATTAGTTTAAATACATTCATAGTGGTTTTAAATATCTTTTAATATGTAAAGTAGAGAAGTTCACATTCAACAAACTGAATAAAACAAGTCTTCGTTTTTAGTTTATTTAAAAACAATTACAAATGGAGTAATTCAACTCACAATTAAATGATCTCATTGAGTGATGGAATAATAAAGGTAAAACTTTAATTGAATGATCAGTCAAGTGTTTCCAAATAAAATCTGTTAAAATAAGAGTCCTACAAAGCAGGAACAAAGACACTCATGAAACAAAATGTGATTGTTAATTGTATTTTTTATTAGATGGTTGGTTTTAAGTACTTTAAAAATAGTAGATAATCCTTAAATATAGAGGGGGAAATACAGAAAAAACAAACAAACAGAAATTCAACAATATAGATGCATTACATTACAATCTTGCAATAAAAAATTAATTAAAAACCATATGGAGGACTAAAATATTGCTAAGAGGCATAACATCAACAATAATAAAAATACCTTTAAGGTTTTAAATACTAAATAAAATTAATAGTATTAATCCAAAATATGAAAAATGTAACACTTTACAATAAGGTTGTATTAATTAATTAAGTTTATGCATGTACTAATGTGAACAAATAATGCAGTGCAGTTCATTACAGTATTCATTATTTTATGCTTTAATTAATGAAAATAAAATTATTGGTTAATTCTTGTTAACTCACAGTGCATTAACATTAATGTTAACAAGCATAACTTTAAATTGTAATAATGCAATAGTAAATGTTAAACTATAATTAATAAAGGTTTAGAAGTATAGTTCATTATTAGTTCATGTTAGTACATAGATTAACTAAAGAAACCTTATTGCAAAATGTCACCAGAAATTAACAAAAAACTTTTTTTTTTTACAGTTTTAAGAGCTTTAAAAATAAATTATATATATATATCTAGTTATTATGGCATGTAATTAATGTTACTACTAATTAAATAGTTAGAAAATACTGTCAGAGGATGGGCAAAACACAAAGATAAAACATAATATGCGCATTGACACAAACGACCAAGTGCAAAAACATAAATTACAGCCATGTTCATTCATAATTATATGAAATAAATCACGAGAGGGTAAATTTGGTTTAAAAAAACTGAAGTATATTGACTTATGCACAACAGTAAAACAATGCTTTTGCACAACAGTAACACATTGCGAGTAGTAAAGTCTCTTACCTTTGACAGATGTTGTAAATCCGCTGAATAAAACAAAAGGAGCAGATTGCGGATGTGTTTATTTTACTCTCCGAGTCAGAATGAAAAATGGCATCTTCAAATTTCCCGCTGGTACAAAAACACGGAAGTGCGCCACAAAGCGCTAGTGGTCGAAAGTATGCGTGCATGCTCTCTGTCACACACGCACACACACGCAGTTCTGTCAACATACTTTTTATCTTTGGGCTTTTTATAGAAAGTAGCAAGTCTTTACAAGTCAATAGGCGCAAGTCCAAGTGAAAGTCCGAGTCATTTATGTTCAAGCCCAAGTCGAGTTGCAAGTCTTTTTATATTTTGTCAAGTCGAGTCTGAAGTCATCAAATTCATGACTCGAGTCTGACTCGAGTCCAAGTCACATGACTCGAGTCCACACCTCTGATATATATATACATATATATATATATATATATATATATACATACATATATATATATATATATACATATATATATATATATATATATATATATATATATATACATACATACATACACATATATATATATATATACATATATATATATATACATATATATATATATATATATATATATATATATATATATATATATATATATATATATATATATATATATTTATTTATTTATTTATTTATTTATTTATTTATTTATATATATATATATATATATATATATATATATATATATATATATATATATATATATATATATATATATATATATAATGATAAGGTATACATTTAAAACTACCAATAGTTTTGCTGGCGGCAAGTGGATCAGTAAGAAGGTCACTGGTTCAAGTCCCATGCCAGTTGGCGTCCCCATGTTGGTGTGGGTTTCCTCCGTGTGCTGCAGTTTCCCTCACAGTCCAAACACATGCGCTCATAGTGAATTAGATTAACTAAATAGGCCGTAGTGTATGAGTGTGTGTGTGAGAATAAGTGTGTATGGGTGTTTCCCAGTACCGGGTTTTAGCTGAAAGAGCATTCACAATGTAAAACATATGCTGGAATAGTTGGCGGTTCATTCCACTGTGGTGACCCCTGATAAATAACAGACTCAGCCAACTCAAAGAGAGAATGATGCCGCTCTTACTGTACACGTGAACCCTGTTTTTCTGTTTGTCCACCATCAGGCTTTGACCACCGGCAGCATCCCTGGATTCATAGACGTGGTGATGAACCTGAACTCTCCTGTCCTGCTGGAGGATAATCTCATCTGGCAGGCCAAGAGCGCAGGCAAGCGGATCATCTTCTACGGCGATGACACATGGGTTCGACTCTTTCCCAAACACTTCATGGAGCAGGACGGCACAACCTCTTTCTTTGTGTCAGACTACACTGAGGTGAGAGAAGCTCAGCTGTGTAACAGTGGCTTGTGTAGATTTAAAGGGATAGTTCACCCAAAAATGAACAGTTACAGTTCATCTGCTCACTTTCAGGTCATCCTTTCCTTAAGGTCATTTACATTTTAAACATGATTTGATAGACAAAGCTAGTTTTTTGCCTATTATCGGGATTTTTATCTGGCATGGAAACACCGTAACCTGCATTCTGTTGTATTATTCAGTTCTTAGAAAGCAGATTTAAAGCGATTCTGTCTTTAATCTCCCTTCACTTGTCACAAACCTGTTTGACTTTTCTTTATTTCGTCAAAGCAAGGCAAGTTTCTGAATATAGCATATTTCAAACTAAATGGTAACTTAAAGTACTTTACATAAGCAAGACTAAAAGAAACATAAAATACAAAGAATTAAAATTAAAATCAGGTTAAACAGGTTTTAAATTAATGAAAAAGAAAAGAAAGACATAATAGTCTTTATTACTTCATAGTCTAATTCACCCAAAAAAAGATTTTTTGAAGAGGAGGAAACTGGTAGGCTGTTGAGGTTGTCAATGGTTACCAGTTTCCAACATTATTTAAAGTATCTTCTTTTGTGTCCAACAGAAGAAATAAACTCTTAATGGCTTGGAAAGATTTAAGGAAGAGTAAATAGTAAGCATATGTTTCTTTTTTGGGTAAACTAACACATCCAGACATATTGAGTGATTTGTTATAGGGTCTTTTTCGACCCAAGAGGGATTTAGAAACGTCAGAAATGACAGTAAAATATGACCCGAGTGTTTTATATTGCATGCTTAGGCATAAATTAAAATACGAAAATAGCTTAAAATGACATCAGTGCATTAAGGCTGTACGGCTCCGCCCCCTTGTTACGTTAGGCCGGAAGCCGAAATTAATTTTCATGTGAAGCAACACGCCCCTAAAACAGCAAACTGTGTAAACGCCCCAACATGCCACTTTTGAACACATTATAATAGAAACATCTGAACTGTGTGTTGAACTAAACCTACTCAGAAGAACTATAATATTAATATTAAATCATAAAAAATGGGTAAACTATGTGTACTTTAAGACGAGCAAAATAATCTGCCAAATGGAGTAAGCAAAGAAATTGTATGTCAAAAGAAAAAATAAGGTAATTTTCCTCACCCCATTGGCAGATTTAGCTTATTTTAAGGAAAAATTCACCTTATTTTGGCATATTATTTCTTGATTTAAATTTTTTTTAGCCATTTAAACTAAAACCAAGTCAAAAAATCTAAATAAGAAAAGCATTTTGTGCAGTGGATCTGTGTTTTACCTCCTAAACTGTTGATGTTTTGGGAGTCGAAGCATATAGATATTTTAAAACTGTGTTTTGCTCTTCAGATACTCAGTTTTCTAGGTCTGCACATGACAAAAAATGTATGATAATTGACAATATAACTTTTATTTGATCCACACAACTCTTTCTTAAACATGTTAAGCCTATTTTTAATTTGACGTTTATTAAAGTTCGAGACAAATACATGTGTGTACATTAGAGTTTTTGTTTAGCTTCATAATCAAGATTTATAGCTCGTACATTATGATATACATTAGCTTAGTTAGAATATGGAGATAAGGTAGGAAAGCAAAACCTCATTTTTATTCAGCGGAATAATAATGTGCAATTGCAGAAACTTATAACTTAAATATAAAAAGTAAGATGAGCTTGAACTGTAAATCAGTTGGAAACTTTATAACATCACTGCAGGATACCTAAATAAGATGCATAAAAATGTCTGTGGTCATTCTGTATCTCCCTGTAATGTGCGTTTAAACGATGATATTAAAATTCTTGGTTTTATGATCAGAACTCTCAGGTTTTTATTCTGGGGGCAAAATGTAGAATGCAGTACAATACTGGCAATACAAGATAAACACATTTAAAAGCCTTGTTGTATCATGTATCATACATAAAAGTGCTATAGGGATAATCTAATAAACCTGTTCATCATGAATTATTATAATAATAGTTTTACATTACTTTTGATTGTTAACTTCATAAAAAGCATTAAAGATTTCACAGCAGAAAATATGCATGCACTAAGAGCTGAAGGTTTAATAAATACTAATTAAAATTAATAGATCAATAAAGTATGCAATTTTATCAGATAACAGCAGTCACGTGGTTAATTATTCTGTAACAGCTTTTTTTTAAAGTAATTTTTGATCATCATGATTATTTAGTGGCCTGAATCTGATATGATATATAAGCTTGCATTGTTTACTTGTGTGTTAAAGGGTCTGTACAGTATGTCTAATTCAAAAAGCCCTCTTAAAGGAACACTCCCCTATTTTTATAATGTTTTGGAAATAGGCTTATATTACGACTCCTCTAACGTTTAACAGTTTAGTTTGACCATTTTTAATCCATTGACCCGATCTTTGTCAGACGGAAACACTTTTAGCTTAGCTTAGCATAAATCATTGAATCGCATTAGACCATTAGCATCTAATAAATCACAAATAATAAAAAAGTGAGTTTCTTTATCTTCCTATTTCCTTCTGTGGTTATTTTGTGCACTAAGACCAACAGAAAGTGAAAAGTTGCTATTTGCTAGGCCGATATAACTAGGAACTATACTCAATCTGGTGTAATAAAGAAATTCTGTGGGATTTTCAGGCTCTGCATCATATCATTGCGCCTGCTGCAGCCATGGTACGACAGCAAAGTTTATCGATTATTATTATTTATTTTTAACATTTATTTTAGGCCTTTTATTAGATAAGACAGTAATCAAACAGGATGCAAAGTCTTAGAGAGAGAGAGTGAGGTAGGGTCAGGAAATGTTCTCAAGCCGGGATTCAAACTCTGGACGCCCTGAAGTGTTTCCGCACCATATTGGCGCAAAAGCCTAGTGGTTAGTGCCGACGTATAGTGCGGTAGCACTTCAGGGCGTCCCGAGTTCAAATCCCGCTAACCACTAGACTATTGCCCCGACACTTTATCGATTATTACCCCCACCTAAGGTTAGATTTCCCCCACTTTGCATATTTGCTGCATTTATAAAGCGTCTGTATTTTGGAGTCAGTCTGTCTAATGCCATTTTTATTGTACGATTTGATTGGACGGATATCAAAGGACTGAATATTCTGCTTGGCCAATCACTTTAGACAAGAAAAAAATAATTATATAAAGTAGCGACTGCAGGTCAGGAAAAAATACTGCGGTAAAAGTACCAATACAGCACTATAAATGAAAGTATATGCTTGTAAAACTACAGTTGCTGTCAAAATTAATATTATTTATTATAATATTTTATTTATGTTATTATTATTTTTTCTTTTTCCCAAATATTTCCAAAATTATGTTTAATAGAGCAAGGATTTCATCACAGTATTTCCTATAATTTAATAATTCCTATATTTTTTCTTCTGGAGAAAGTCTTATTAGTTTTATTTCAGCTAGAATAAAAGCAGCTTTTAAAATTTTAAAATCCATTTTAAGGTCAATATTATTAGCCTCTTTAAGCTCTCTCTCTCTCTCTCTCTCTCTCTCTCTCTCTCTCTCTCTCTCTCTCTCTCTCTCTCTCTCTCTCTCTCTCTCTCTCTCTCTCTCTCTATATATATATATATATATATATATATAGATTTTTTTTTTCAATTGTCTACATAACAAACCATCATTATACAATAACTTGCCTAATTACCCTAACCTGCCTAATTAACCTAGTTAAGCCTTTAAATGTCACTTTAAGCTGAAAACTAATATCTTGAAAAATATCCAGTCAAATATCATTTACTGTCATCATGACAAAGATAAAATAAATCAGTTATTAGAAATGAGTTATTAAAACTATTATACTCAGAAATGGGTTGAAATAAACCTTCTCTCCATTAAACAGTAATTGCAGGAATAAATATTCGGCAAGGCTAATAGTTCAGACTTTGTAAAGTACACTTCCTGAGACTCAATTTCAGTCATGTGAGTATTTGTAATTCATTACTGTACATCATCTCTCTTGTTACCGCCAGGTTGACAATAACGTGACCCGTCACCTGGACAGCACTCTGAAGAGGGATGACTGGGATATTCTGATTCTTCATTATCTTGGTCTGGACCACATCGGGCACATCAGCGGACCCCACAGCTCTCTAATAGGACCCAAACTCATGGAGATGGATGACATCATCAAGAAGATCCACGCCTCGCTCATCTCAAAGGTGCGTTTTGCTTGGTGTTTTGTGATCTGCATTTTAATATTTGATGATTCTTTAAAATGGAAAGTTTAGGCTAAAGTGTAAAATAAAGCCATCATTTGCTTTTCGTCTGACCAGAATGGGAGAATTAAAGGGATAGTTCACTCAAAAATGAAAATTCTCACCCTTGACTTGTTCAAAACCTATCTGAGACTCTTTTTTTTCTGTTAAACACAAAAGAAGATACTTTGAAAAATGCTTTAGCTGTCTCCCGTTGACTTCCATTGTACTTTTTTTCTCACAATGGAATTTGATTGGTGCCAACAACCAGCGTTCTTCAAAATGTCTTCTTTTGTGTTCAACAAAATAAAGAGACCCATAAAGCTTTAAAACCACATGAGCGAGAGTAAACAATGAGGTAATTTTTTTATTTTTGAGCCAACCATCCCTTTTATAAAAGTGAATTATTAGGACTTCTCTGAAACCCCTGCTATTTGCCTTCCTGAACTTTCATTAAGTGGAATCATTTATCGGGGTTTCCCCCAATTTTGTGTTTCCAGTCTTTAAGTGCTCTCTTTAGTGCTGTTTGCTTAGTCAAGCATCATTAATACTATTGCTCATACTCAGGGTTATTGATGTGAAACCCTTGACAGAAAGCATTCAACTTAGCCAATGTTTTAAATAGTTGAAAGACATACAACTTCTTAATATCTATAGGTTCACAATGTAATAAAAACTGTTCTGGAAAAAAGATTCTGGTCTGCGAAAATATTCTAAGTCTCTAAGTCAAACTTTTCAAGAAAGTACAAAATCTGAGATCTCCGAAGTCTTTAGGCAAAGCAGTTCATTGTTACAGCATCAGTAACAACTAGGGATGGGAAGATTAACCGATATGTATCGATACGCGGTCATGCGCGTGCACGATGCGAGTGCATCGGTAGAGCAGCAGAGGATGAATGAAATTTTGGAAGCAAATCGAGATGCATCGGTTTTTGCGGGATGCATCGATTTTTCCGAGATACAGCTTATATTTTTAATATAGAATGTATTTTTTATTTATTAACAAGTGTTGTTAACCTGTTTTTGGCGCATAATTTAATCGACCTACATAAAGTAAGCCTTAGCAACGGATTTGCGGATGTGCACACACTACAACTCAGTGTATCAGGTGTGCGGATGAAGCTAGTGGAGCGCCCTCAGAAAGCGCGAGAAGCAAAACAAACATTTTATTCCCCACTGAGTTTTAAATCTAAAGTATGGCAACATTATGGATTCTGCAAAAAAGATGGACGAATTTTTAGGACAGATGCAATTTGCAAAATGTGCCGCGCATCTGTAAAATACGCGGGCAGTACGACTAATCTGATATCTCACTTGAAGCGGCGCCACGGTGTTGTTGTGAAAGCATCTTCCAGTGTTTCTGCATCGCCGGCTTTCGCACTGCTTCAACCAGCTCCAAAAGTGGTGAGAAAAGCATTGCAAGTTTTTTTTTTTTTCCATGCGCAACAGTTCTGCTCGCTCTACGCCAATAACGAATGCTATTGCATTGTTCATCTGCAAAGATATTCAGCCTAGTGTCACGGAGAACAAAAGTTTTAAACACCTCCTCCTGTTAATTTTTATTTAATTATAATAATATTAATAATAATAATTATAAAAATAATTGGGTGTCACGGTGGCACAGTGGGTAGTTTGACCACCTCACAGCAAGAAGATTGCTGGTTTGTTATATTTTTATTAGTCTGTTGTTTACAGTGACAGTGATGTTTCAAAGCAGCATAACACTGCTAGTTCACCACCTTAAGTTTTGAATAATCAGTGGCAAAATATATCTTTGTAAAACTTGTTTTCATAGTTGAAAAGTTAAATCACAATTCTTGTTGTGCAATGCTAAATTTATTTATGTTGAAAGAGTGCAAATATATACATTTATAATATATATTGCACTTATACATTCTGTTTATCTTGAAAATACTTAAATAATATGTGCTATATGTTCTAAAATGGCCCTCTACTGTAAACTGACACTCTGGCTCTGAGAGAAAAGCCAGTTTGTAAAAAAAGTCTTGGTTTTGCTTGGTTTATAAATAATCAAACTCATTCAATGGCACAGCATCCTCTTTCACATCATCTCATAAACTTGATCTAATTAGTTAGTGCTGAAATATCGCATCGTATCGTGATATGGGTGTGAATCGTATCGTGTTGCATCGCAATATGTCACAAATGTATCGCTAATATATCGGATCGTATTCTTTGTATCGAGATACGTATCGGATCGGCATTATAGCTTAGATGCCCAACCCTAGTAACAACAGAGACAGGTCGTTCGAGTGTCTGCCGAACATAGGCTTGCACACAGTTTAAATACATAATTTACACATTACACACCTCCATCAGCTTCTCCGCTAATGGGATCTTAAATCTCTCAGATGCCCGCCACCAATAGAATCTCAGGGTCTTTCAGGGGTCTTACTCATGTCCAGTTAAGGTCTTTCCTTCCTGCTTCAAAAGCGATGAATAAAAAAAAACACTCAACAATATATCTTGTTCACTGTCCATTGAGCTGTGAACTGTAAGTTCAGCTGAAGTTCATGGGTACTCATAATTTTTAGATGTCAGTACAAATGAGTGTGGGCGCACATGCATGTGTGCTTTATTATGAGTTACAGAACAGAACGCAGGTGTCCTTTTGGCCTTTCCTCCATAAATCTACCCTCATTGTGACATTAATGCTGCTCTTCTAATTTATCTTCTCATCTCTGACTGCATTTGCACAGAATTACTTTTTTATTTACCAAAGCACACATACCTGATAATAATGCCACAGGTATGGGTAACAATATAATATATAATAATAATAATAATAATAATAATAATTCTGAAATCACTCAAATAAGCAAATAAATGAGAGTAATACATTCATCAGAAATTCATCAAGACACAATGAATTCCCCAACAAAACTCAACCCTAGCAACCAATAATTCAGTTTAATTCAAGTTTATTATCTGTGTTTATTATCTTATTATTATAATCTGTTTGTTATTTTATTGTCTGTTCAAGTTTATTAGTCTGTCTGTGCCTTGAACATTATCAGAAAGGCTATTCCAAAGTTTAGGAGCCATATATGAGAACACTAGACCTCCTTTAGTGGACTTTGCCATTTTAAGATCTTCAAGAGCGAGTTGGATTGTAGTGAGACAGAAGGTTGGTCAGATAAATAGGAGCCTAGACTTTTTAAAGGTGCAGTAGGTGATTGTCTTCAGAAGCATTTTTTGTTTTGCTGGTTGAAAGTCTCTTCACATTTCAATAGCAATGATTACAATTGATGAATTGTAGTATTATAAAGTACTATGAAATTTTCTAACTGGCGAATGACATGATCTAGTGGGTCTCTGTCATCTTTAATGTGCCGTTCGTGATTTCAGGAGGCAATTTTTTAGGATGACTGGGGGAAAGATATTATGCTAACCGGTTAGCATTTTGACAGATCACCAACTCCACCTTTATTTAAAGCTTTATAGGTAGCAATACTAATACACTAAGCAACAGCCTAGATTTTTGTGTCCTCTGTCAGAACAAGGCTTATTTTTCCCTCTTTCTCTTGTTTTGTTCCTGAAAACTCTGCTCTGTATTTTCAAGGATTATGCAGTTCTGCTACATTCTGACCCAAATATAGACTCTTTTTCACACAACTTTTTCCCTGTGGGCGGTTTTGCTTGTTTCAACCATGCTTATTATAGTTAACTAAAATTGAAATAGTGTCCTCTTATGCTTTTACACTGTCAACTCCCTTTAATCTACATAAAAAACCGCTGTAGGGCTGCAAAGAATAAAGTCACTCCTGCAGGAGTCCTTCTTTTCTCGTACTTTTTCTTCTAGGATCAGACTAATCACAGTATCCTAAATACAAACATTTCTTCATATAATGTTAGGATTGTGATGTTTTAGGGTCTAGTTACGTTATGCAGACATCCCATGCGAATTTGATGTAAAAGCTCGGAATTCATGGAGATGTCCCTTTAGAGGTCAGAGGAGTGAGGTTTACCTGCCCAGCACTTGGCTAGCTGGCCTCCATTATACTCACCCCCTTAAACCTCAGTCCCATCCCGGACAAGCCTCCAAGTGTAACCCACTGGTCCTACTGCACCCAACTCACTCTGAGCTGGGATCAAACCGATGATTCTTTGCATGGGAGTTGGTTGCCCTAACAAGGAGGCTAAATACCACGGTGTCTAGCGTCTCTCACTAGAGCACCTTTTGAGGTCAGAGGAATGAGGTTTACATGGACAGCACTTTGCTAGCTGGCCTCTGTTAAACTCACACCCCTAAACCTCACTCCCATGCCAGGCGAGCCCCCAAGTGTAACCCACTGGTCCTACTGCACCCAACTCGCTCTGAGCTGGGATCGAACTGGTCATCTTTGCATGGGAGTTGGTTGCTCTAACAAGGGGGCTAAAGACCATAGCCTCTAGCATTAGAGCACATTTTAAGGTCAGAGGAATAAGGTTAAGTGCACTGCACTTCGCTTGCTAGCCTCTGTTACACTCACCCCCTAAACCTCACTCCCATCCCGGACGAGCCCCCAAGTGTAACCTACCATTCCTACTGCACCCAACCCAAACTGAGCTGAGATTAAACCAGTGATTCTTTACATGGGAGTTGGTTGGTCTAACAAAGAGGCTGAAGACCATGGCCTCTAGGGCTAGAGCCACTTTTGAGGTCAGAGGAGTGAGGTTTACCCGCATAGCACTCCGCTAGCTGATCTCTGTTACACTCACCCCTCTAAACCCCAGTCCCATCCCGGACGAGCCCCCAAGTGTAACCCACTGGTCCTACTGCATCCAACCTGCTCTGAGCTGGGATCGAACTGGTCATTCTTTGCATGGGAGTTGGTTGCTCTAACAAGGGGGCTAAAGACCATAGCCACTAGCACTAGAGCACCTTTTAGGAATAAGGTTAAGTGCACTGCACTTCGCTTGCTAGCCTCTGTTACACTCACCCCCTAAACCTCACTCCCATC